CACTTAACCTTATGAGACCTTAGTTTCTCACCTGTAAAATGGGTACAAAGTAGTAGAACTACATATACCTTATACGATTTAATGAGGCAATCTTTACAACTATATAGAATAGAATAGAATAGAATAGAATAGAATAGAATAGAATAGAATAGAATAGAATAGAATAGAATAGAATAGAGGAGGAGAATTAAGGAATTAAAATAATCTGTTGTAGCAAAACTGTTAATGGCAGTTTGAGCATGCATTCACTTATTACCTCTTTCTGTCTCACATTCATTCATTCATTCATTCAACCAATGCTTATTGAGCAAAGGTCTACTCTGTTCCAGCCACACTGTGAAACAGGATGAACAAGACAAGCCAAGTACTTGATACCTGGACTTTACAGTTTAACCTTGTGAACAAACAAAAAGCCTAGTAATTTACTAATGAAAAGCAGTCATACCATAGAAAACCCTGTGAATCACAGTTCTACTCTGACACACATGGATTCACCGTGCATTGGAGTTGATTCCACAGAAACTGGTGGTAGTTCTTAAGATTATTGTGAGCTTTGCTGTTGTTAAGTGCTGCTGAGTCCATTCCAACTCATAGCATTTCCAAAGAGAAGCTGGTGCATTTGAACCACTGACCTTGCATTTCAAACTGATCTTGTGGTTCAGTGCATTATCCCACATTGCCACAGCTTTAGGTGAGTTGTTGTTAAGTGTTGTCAAACTTGTTCTGACTCATAGTGACTTTGTATAGGGTTTCTGAGGAGTGACTGGTGAGCTTGAACCACTGATATTGCACTTCCAACCGACCTTGCAGTCCAGAGTATTAACCCACAGTACCACACCAGGATTCCTTAGGTGAGTTAATACATGTTAAATGCCAGTTCTTAGTGCTAGCTCTTAATAACCTTGAAGCATTTTCTTAAGGTACAATGTCAAGAAAATAGGCTTAGCAATCAGCCAGACCGGAAGCTGAGTTCTCCTCCACCACTCTTTGTTTCAGAAACAAGTGGAGCCATTAGTATACTTGAATTCAGCAGTCTATATTTGGGTGTAAACCCTTTTCTCGTAATGTGTGATCTAACATGGTTACATTATAGATCTTACAAATTGAATTTATAGCACACACATTTCCATGAGTGAATTAAGAAGGTGGAAAATAGTCCTAACCTCTCTTGGTATTTGGTACAAATAACAAACCTCTTTGAACTCCAATTTCCTCATCTGTAAAATGGAAATAACAATGCATAGATCCATACATTTTTTTTGAGGATTAAACACTAGGCAAACACTACCACTAAAAGAATAGCAGTGACCTCTCTTTTCCCCTTCCTAAGATGAAAAATAATTTGAACCAGATAGTCTGATAAAAGCCAAGAGAAAGATGAAACAATATTTTAGAAACTATAAATAAACATGGACTTCTGGTGTGCCACTATATGATCATCACTGGACTTTGAACCATAAGAATGGCAGTTCAAACCCACCAGCTGCTCTTTGGAAACCCTATATTGGGTCGCTATGAGTCGGAACTTATTAGCCTTTAACAACAATAAGCAAACATGTAAGATATTGTATCTTTAAGATCATTTTTAGCATTTGAAAAAAATGTCATTTTAAACAAAGCTTTAGTTCTGGTGTGGTGCCTATAAGGTTGATTGGAACTGCAAGGTTGGTACTTCAAATCTTACTATTAACTTCTTAGAAACCCTCTATAGGATTGCTATGAGTCAGAATCGACTCGATGGCACTTAACAACAATTAGTCTCTGGTCTTTTTAGTGTGAGAGAGTGAAATGGAATTAATAGAATGATTGGATTTTTTAAATATCTGGAAACTGTACATTTTAGTGTGCTTCGTTATTTTTACTGCAGGAGGTTGTGTCTCTGTAGCTATGATATTGTCAATAAACAGGGAAGAACAACGTGATCAAAAGAGAAGAGACCTGTTGTGGAATAATAGGTCTGGAAGGGGAAGTCTGGTCACTGGGTGGGGAAGTGTTAGAGCAGGAACTCAGATGTGACAGAAATGCATCCACACTCAACACTGCCTTTTGTGGTTCTGTTTCCCTGTGGGACTGAGGATTGCCAAGCCCTTGTAAGTTAATTAACCTCTCCACCTCTTGTTTTGAAAGACAGAGGCAAGAATTGTCTAAAAAGGGAGGGAACGTAGGCTATTTCACAGGTTAGAACATTCATAATAAACGCCCCATAATAATAATACAAGACAAAGAACAATTCCTCTGTACCATTTACTTTTCTTTAAATACTTTCCCCAGATTTCTTTTCTTCTCAAGGGAGGTTCTTAAATCCAGCTTATCTGATGATCTGCATTTTTCCCCTCCCTTGGTCTTTGAAGAAAGTACCTCAACTTCTGGGTCTGAGACTCCCAAAGGTCAAGTTCTGTGCAGAGCTGTAGAGTCAGCAAATATTTAATTCCTCTGACCATCACCTCAAAAGCAGATTTTGCATCCTCACATCATGGGGTGGCCAAAACGCTAGTGCATCTAGACTTGCCTCTGCCTACACCCCTTCAGTGGTCCGAGCCACATCCCTAGCCTCTCTGGGTCAAATTCCATTCATACAGTTGGATGTCAGGATTAGACCAGGTCTCTGAGTTCTCTTGCATGCCTAAATGCTCTGCTGAGGTGTGACTGAACAATGAACCTTCACAAGGGGTGGGGGCAAGTTTTACATTCCTATCTGCTCCCTAGACCAAGCAGCCACAGAGGTGTCTCCAGCCTGATTCTACACTTTCCAAGTTCTCAGGCAGCCTTTGGCCACTTCATGTGGTCCACTTAGTGCCACTGTGGAGTCCTGGTGTGGCACTGTAGGATCAGCTCTGGACTGTAAGGTTGGTGGTTCGAACTCACCACCTACTCCTTGTACACCCTATAAAGGATCGCTGTGAGTCGGAACTTAGTAACAGCAACAGCACCGCTGTAATCTTGTGGCCATCTGTATATAGAGAAAAGCACATAAAAGATCACAGTAGAGGCATTATAAGAAATGAGGTGAAAAATAGAAGGTAATGTGAATGCCCTCCTCAGAAATACTAAGTTTAGGATGGCATTGACAACGTTACCTCTCCAGCTTTCCTTCTAGAAGCCATGCCTGGGATCACCTTCTTCTCATGCTTACTGTTATCTCTCCCCCCCCTACTATTTCACCCTATTGTGTGGTTGTTAAGTGCTTTTAAGTCAGTTCCAACCCATAGCAACCCTGTAGTGTTTCCAAGTAGCGGCTGGTGAGATTGAACTGCCAACCTTGTGGTTCAAACCGACCTTTCTGTCAAGTGCTTATCCTACAGCAACACACCATGACCCAAAGCAAAACAATATAATAACCTACTAGCATTGGCGTCCTCTGCCCCATGGCCTGAAAGTCAGTACACTGGAGGAAGAGGCATGGTGTGGGGTGAAGGGGATGGACCATCTGCCTCCATATCTGTACTGCTAACAGGACACATGTTGCGAAATGATATAGGTTTTTTGACTCATTTTACATGAACTCCATGATGCAGACAAGGCTCTTAATGTCATTCCTATTTCATAGATGAAGAAACTGAGGCTCAGGGATTAGGTAACGAAATATGGGCTCTGAAATGGATTCATTGTAAGTAGTAGGAACATTGAGTAGATCAGAACCAGGGCTATCCAATGTTTAAGGGGAATTCTTATTTAGTGGGTGGATAGTCTCTCTGGATGGTACAAATTGTTTATGTTGGACTACCAACTGAAAGGTTGATGATTCAAATCCACCCAGCAACACCTCCAAAGAAAGTCCTGGCAATTTGCTTCTATAAAGCTTGGTGTTGCTCGGTGCCATGGAGTTGATTTCAATGCGCAGTGACCCACATGACAGACTAGTATTGCCAAATAGGGTTATCCTGACTATAATATTTACATAAAGGAGCCTACCAGTTGTTCCGGAGAGAGATGAGGCAGTCTGCTTCAGTAAAGATTTACAGCCTTGGAAACCCCATGAAGCAGTTCTACTCTATCTTACAAGATTGCTATGATTTGGAATTGACTTCAAGGCAGTGGGTTTTTAATTTAATCTTTACACAAGAAGATTGCCAGGTCTTTTTTCCACAAAGGTGTGTGGGTTTCAACTACCTACCGTTCAGTTAGCAGTTTAGTGCTTAACCTTTGCGCCATTGGAGCTCCTACAATTTTCAAATTACTGATTTCCCTTTGCAATGACAATCAACTAGTATAAGGTAATGTTGCCACGTCTCAGAAAAATGTACAGGCTCAGGGGCACAAAATGTACATATTATTTGAGGGTGTTCACCCCAAGCGGTGAGCTACAGATACAAATAGACAGTCTCCAGCCCGGCTGCAGTAATCCTTTCTGGAGATACAGCATGCATCCATCTTTGCCACCCTTGCCACACCTGTCAGCTAAAGACAGGATTGCCTGGGAAGTGCAGTTCACCTGTCGGCCACACTAAACATCTTTAGCTGCAGCTTCTCTCTCTTAGCACGCAGCGTGCACTGCCCGGGCGCCTTCCTTTCCCGTCCCGTGGAGCTGACACAAAGGACAGCCCTTGGTATCCTCCCTTCCCACTGCCCAGGAGGACCGACTCCACAAAGTTCTGGTGCCCGCTTCTCCGGGATCGTTACCAGCTAGGCATACAGCTCCTGCCAGGAGGGCGCCTGGGTTTGCGGTGGACCGAAGAGTCAGGGAGACAGGGGGACTCGCACACACATCTCTAGTCCCGGGTTCCCCTTAACCAGGCACTGTCCTTGACGGGTTTGGGGTGGACAAGCTGTAGGTGGCTAGGACGCAGTGGGGCTGGAAAACGCGCGTGTGTGCGCGCCCCTAGTCGCCTGGCCACTTGTGCCCAGCTCTCCTGCGGCCTTGGTGGTTCCAGGCTGGGCAGGAGCCGGTGCTGGGGCAGTGCCCTCTCTCCGCCTAGTTCGGCCAGGCCTGGCCCGGCCCTGAGCCGCGCGAGTAAGCGCAGCGCCCCTACCGCCCGCTTTTTCGCCTCCATCTCCTCCGCCTCCTCCTTCCCCCAGCCACCCGCGCAGTCACAACCGGTTCAGACTGGCCAGGGTGCCCCGCAAAGAAGAGAGAGAGCGGAAAAAAAGAGAACGGGAATAACTTCCCAGGGAGGCGGAGAAGAAAGCGAAGGTGGAGCCCTGAGGAGGGGGCCGGTTCCCTCCCTCAATGTGCCCGCCGCTGCCGCCGCTGGGCTCCGCGGGGGCAGAGGGCGGCGGCTCCGAGGGCAGAGCGTAACGGGACCGATTGCCCAATACTCCGGCAGGAGCTGGGGTTCAGGATAAATACCGCCCGGCGGGCCCGGAGCTGCAGGGGAGACGGCGGCCGCGGTCCCCACCGCACCACTCTCCCCGCCCGCCCGGGGCACTGTGCCCAGTGCTGCGCCCCGGAGCCCCGCCTAGGCCGGCACCCAGGTAAAGAGTTGGCGCCTGCCGAGAGGGTCCCACAGGTCAGCGGCGAGAAGGAACTCCTCGGTTCTGGGCAACAGAGGGAGGAGGCGGTGTCGGAGACTGCGACGCTGTCACTAGCGGCAGAGCAGCCTGGAACCGGTTTCTTGTTGGGGTGTGTGCGGGGAAGCGGGGTGAGAGAGTTCGCTTTGCGCCAGCGCGCACCTTTCAACATCTTCTTCTTAATAGGTGCTACCCCACAGTGGGAAAAATTTCCCAGGAATCCGAGGCCGTCATTTTTCATGGGTTTGGAAGGAAAGGAAAGGAGGTCCTGGGGAAAGACTGTGTTCCTGGATGGGGCTCTGGGCGGAGAGTTATCCTAAGACTCCCAAGATAGATTCTGAGGCTGTTGGTGCCAAAGAGGGAGGAGGTGGTGCGACCTACATGTGTTGCCTTGTCCTGGAGGACCCGGAGGACCCCGAGGCCTCCCGTTGCCCTGACCTGGAAGGGTGCAAGCAGATGTCCACGAGAGGGCCAGAGTCGGGTGGGGGCGCTCCGGGTGCTGCTGGATTGCAAGGAAAGCAAATCTTGCACCGCAGCGCCAGGTTCAGTACCACCGGATCAGTCCCGAGGGAGTGCAGGTGGCCTTCCCGATGGCCACCTGGGTCACTGAAGCACCTAGTGGGAACCTGAGAGAACTTGATGCGTAACACCCTTAAGTTTGACTAGCCGTGGTAACCTACTCTGTCTTCAGCAGCCCCCAGAAGTTTTGGAGAAACCTGATGATAATCATTTGCAAAATGATCATCATAAACAAATCTGTGCTTTACCCAGTTCTCGGGATATCAAGTCCATCTATCCAGTACAAACTATGGGAAATTTAGGCAAAATTTTAACTAACTATAGCAAGCTATTTGATATAAAACATGTAAAACCAACTTCCTGGGCCCCAATTAATTTGAGTAGGATTTTCAGGTGTTCACTTCTGTCAACTTGGTATCTCTTTGACAGCTTCTTTGATATAGGATCTCCTCACCATTAAGAACTTTTCTTGGCTGGTAAAGGCAGAGGAATGAAGTTAGGAAAGTTCTGAATTGATTACAATCTCTTGAATACTATGTAAATATAGATGACAAGGATTATCTATATATATCTTTGCCAGCAGCTACTCTGAAACCCTATACAGGGTCACTATGAGTCAGAACCGACTCTACAGACTTAATAACAACATATCCTTGCCAGAAACTTTTTGTTGTTCTTTAGGTTATACATTAGGAAAGAAAGTAGTTTTGCCTGAAATTTTGCAACAACTAATATTTTTAGCACCACTAACTCCTGGTATGGAGCCCTGGTGTGGCACTGTGGGTTAATGCGCCAGACTGCAAAGCCGTTCAAACTGCAAAGACAGTGGTTCAAGCTCACCAGCTGCTCCTCGGAAACCCTATACAGGGTCGCTATGGGTCGGAACCAACTTGACGGCACTTAACAACAACAACAACCCCTGGTATGGAGCTGCAAGTTAATGCGCTGGGCTGCAAAGTCAGTTTGAACCGCAAGGGTTGCTGTTCAAGCTCATCAGTTGCTTCTGTACAGGGTCGCTATGACTCGACAACAGTTAACAACAACAACAGCAACCCCTTAAGGGGAGTCCTGGTGTGGCGAAGTCGGCAGTTCAAACTCACTAGCTGCTCCTCAGAAACCCTATACAGGATCACTATGAGTCTCAACCAACTTGATGGCACTTAAAAATAACAACTCCTTAAGGGGAGTCCTGGTGTGGGACTGTTGGATAAGCACTGGACTGCTACCTCTTAGGTAAGTGGTTCAAATGCACCAGCCATTCCTTTTTGTTGGGAATGCAGGGTCTCTGAGTTAGAATTGACCCCATGTTTTTGGTTTTGGAGCCCCGTAAGAACTTCCTTTGGGGTTTCTTCTCTTTCGTGTGCAGATGAGAGTCAGGTAGCAAGGTTTCTTGGTTCACTTTAAGATAAGGAACGGGCAAAAGATGTTGCTGTTAAGTGGTGTCAAGTCAGTTCCACCTCATAGCGACCCTATAGTGGGTTTCTGGAGAGCAGCTGGTGGGTTTGAACCGTCAGTCTTTTACTTAGTAGTTCAGTGCTTATCCTACAGCACCACACGAGGACTCCAGGGTAAAAGACATGGGGAGATAAATCAGGAGAAGGAGAAATTTTGCCCCATTGCTGACTTTGAATCTGAAAATGTGGTGGTGATGTTGTGGCTTCGTTGGTGCTTGAATCTTGATCTGGATGAGTCAGGTGGTATTGGGGATGGATCTGATTTCAAAACTTGAGCTAGATAATGGTAATGAGACAGATGGGGTCAGATTTTCAAACTTTCTGCAATCCCTGTGACCCTCAGAGTCTTATGTTTGTATTCTTTTTCTCAAGAGACGTATCTGTTGAACTTAATTCATAGAACGCCACTGTGTATACAAGACCTATGCGAAGGTACAAAACAAACAGTACCTGGCTTGTATAACTTGAACTTTCCAAGAACGTATTAGTTAGTTACTTCAACTTTAACGAAAGATTGCAAATGATCTATTTTAAGCTAGTTGAGTTTTTCCTTGGGAGGTTCTTTATAGACATCAAATTATGATGAATGTGATTTTGAGTTAAATTGAATTCAAAATAATTTGAATTTAATTTTAGCTTAAAATTAAATTCAATTGAAGGAACACATAGTTTCTGTTTTGAAAGAGTGGCATCAGTCGTGTACAAGTGAAGGAGAGGTTGGTTCATTAAAGATTTGTTGTTGTTGTTGTTGTTATGTGCCGTGGAGTCGGTTCTGACTCATAGTGACCCTGTACAGGGTTTCTGAGGCTGTAAATCTTTACGGGAGCAGAAAGCCTCATCTTTCTCCTGCAGAACCGCTGGTAGACTAAGAAGTGAGAAAAGTTTTTATAGTGGGTTTTGCATTTTGTTGTTGTTGCTAAGTGCTGTTGAGTCCGTTCTGACTCATGGTCACTCTGTATAGGGCTTCTGAGGGGTGGCTCGTGATCTTGAACCACCAACCTTGAAGTTCAAAGCAACTTTGCAGTCTAGTGTTTTATCCTGCAGCGCCACAGGAAGAGGAATTCCTGGGTGGAATGGAAGCATCCTGCAAACAAGGCAGCAGCAAACCACTGTGCTGTGGAAGTTCTGTTTCCATACCCCATGCAGGTTTTCACGTGTCCTGACTTTTTAATTCTGAAAATGGTACACCAAATATAGTCGTTTGTACACAACCTACTGTTGTTGTTGTTGTTAAGTGCCATCTAGTCGATTCTGACACATAGCGATCGTATGTAGGGTTTCTGAGGAGCAACTGGTAAGCTTGAACCACCGACCTTGTAGTTCAAATGACTTTGCAGTGTGACGCATTAACCCACAGCGCCACACCAGGACTACTGTAGTGTATATTAATAGAGTGGACCATATGTAATCATGTACAAATTGCACAAAATCTGTGCTAAACAAAAGAACAGCTCAGTATAGAGGGTATAATGGTAAATTTCTTCACCAAAACATGCCTCTTTGTGCCAAGCTTTGCAGGATTGGGATTGTGTGAGAAATAAATTGAAGCAAGAGGCTGGCAGTACAGGAGCATAGCAGAGTGGAGACAAGGGAGCGGATTATAACAACTTGTGTCTAAGTATCTTGCCTGGCCCTCGTATCTCATTTTATTTCTATTTAACTTTGTTAAATCTTTTACATTTGTCCATTTTTTTTCTCAGACTCTGAATGGTTTACAAGCCCTGCTATGTTCTTCTCTGAGTCTGTGAGCAGGAGTTAGAAATAGGTAATGTTGTAGGATTGGTCAGTAAGGGATCTTGATAGTAGGCCGTTGGGCGTGGGGGAGGGGTGAAAATAGCTCAGGTGAAACTCTAAATCAGGTGTAAGAAATTCCCGGCCTGTGAAATCATGTGGTCTGGCCCTGTCAAAGCAACCACAGTTTCAGCCATTGTTGTTGTTGTTGTTGTTAAGTATCGTTGAGTCAGGCCTGACTCATAGCGACCCTGTATAGGGTTTCCGGGGAGTGGCTGGTGAGTTTGAACAGCAACCTTGCGATTCAAACCGACCTATGGTCCAGTGCCATCACATCAGGGGTGAGTTAACTGACCAAATATAGCAAGCTAATTTTTAAGTTAATAATTTTGTATGGTCCGCAACTGGTATTATACATTTTGGCATTGTGTCAGGGAGACATTATGGGATGAAAGGAACTGGATAGAATATGCCCCATCCTAAGAGGGCTAAAGTTAGTCTGTTTTAGTCAGGTGTTTTGTAAGATTTAGAGCCCAGTATTGCTGGGCTCTAAATCTTAAAAAATTTAGAAATTCTCTGATATTTTAAGAGAATCCCGAACTCCCTATTTTTAAATCTTGCCATCTTAAAACATTGGTTGTTGTTAATGCCTTCAAGTCGGTTCCGACTCACAGCGACCCTGTATAGGGTTCGAACCCCAGACCTTGTGGTTCAAACTGACCTTGCAGTCTAGTGCTTATCCTACAGTACCACACCAGGACACCAAAAGATTGGTAACTCATTCAAAATTGCTAAAAAACACTGGGCAGGCCAAGCAAAACACATCTTGTAGAGGCCAGATTTGGCCTGTGTCTGCTAATTAGTGACTAGATAGTTTCCAAGTTCCTTTCAACTTCATGTTTCCATGGCCCTTGACTCAAAGCTTTTTATTGCTAATCCATTTGTTCCTCCTTTGCTAGAACATACTGCAATGATCCCTATACCTAAATTGTAATAGCTTTGGAGGAGCTCTTCAGCAAGTGCTGGACTACGACACATCTATAAGACCTTTAAGGTCAGAGAATTGCCTTTTGTGATGGTGTTGCTGCTGATATAATTCAGGTAGTGCAGTAGTTCATTATTTTGGTTAATTTGTCCTTTCAGGGATCATTATTATTCTCCATAGAGTCGGTTCCAACTCAGAACGACCCTCTGTAGAATGAAATGCTGCCCTGTCCTATGCCTCCTCAGAATTTGTTTGTTTAATTCCAGGATCAAGAG